GGGGATAGTTCTGGAGACTCCATCTCCAAAATAACCAGACCAAAATGGACTATAGGTGTGGCTCAAGTGGTAAAATGCCTGCTTTGCAAGAGCAAGGCTCTGAGTTCAAATCCCAGTACTGGAAAAAAAAGGGGGGGTGCTAAATGACTTTCCAAAGTGGCTGTAGCATTTGCATTTCTGCCTGCTGCCTGATATTGAATGAGGTTCTCCCATATTCACTTTGGGGACCCAGAGCTGCAGGCACTTGCAGCAAACCAGAACAACAGTGAGATAATACTTTGCATCTAGGACCACTGTATCCAAAATGTGTGAGAACCCATGAAAGTCCATTATTGCATTATTTTTTTTCCAAATAATTATTGTAAGATCTTCCCTGGGCACTTTGGACACTGGGCCATGTCATAATCTGGGGTGGGCCTTGTGACCTGGGTGTAGGGTGAGCAGGGTCCCTGGACTCCATCCATTCCATGCCACAAGCTCTCCAGTTGTGACAGCCACCCTACTTATCACTCAGGGTTCTCTGGGGGGCAGAATCACTCTAGTTGAGACCCCTTGAGTCAGGGGATGTCATGAACCCCAGGAGACTGCACCCATGACTTTCTGCTCTGCTTAGGCCACACTGATGCCCACATGCTAAGTGGGAGGAAAGAGGGGGTCAGCCTCAGAAGCTGGGGTCCCCTGGCTCTCAGTTTCTGCTCCTCAGGACTGTGTTCTGTAGTCTGATGGGATCTGAAGCACTAACTCCATATTGACCCCCAAATAGGGAGCACAAAGTCTTTCAATTCTGACACCAGTGACATATGGCACAGCGTTCTTTTTTGGGGCTGTAGGCGGGAATGTTCTAGAAGGGCACAAATCATTGCAACTGCTTCTCTATAGGTGACAACAGCGTCATTTGAACCTTGGAAAGCTGAGCAGGCTGATGGAGGCCCCCAGGAGGCTCACAACACCCCCATTTATATTGATAAACATTGAGGAACATTGTTCTGGGAGAGTGGGGACACTGCAGTGACAAGTCCACCTGGTGGAGCAGATGTCCTCCATCAACTTACCATTGCAGACAATGAAATAAGGGATGGGTCAGGATTGATAAAAACTGCTTGATACAGGCTCCCCACACTCAGGCTCATGAAACCAGGGCTTCACAATAAAAATCACTTCAGCCTCACAGCTGGGATGAGTCCTTGCCACGGCTGCAGCTCTCAGGGATTGTATCTGTATATTTTATTTTATTATTTAATTTTATTTCTTGATGTTGGGGATCAAAACCAGGGCCTCATGCATGCTAAGTACATGCTTTCTTCCACTGAGCTAAACACCATCTTTTGTGTGTGTGGTACTGGAGTTTGAACTCAGGGCTTACACCTTGAGTCAATCCACCAGGCTTTTTTTTTTTTCAAGATAGGGTCTCTCAAACTATTTACTCAGGGCTGGCTTTAAACCGCAATCCTCCTGATCGCTGCCTCCTGAACAGCTGGGATTAAGGCGTGAGCCACCAGCACCAGGCATACACCCCATCTTTAAAATGGGACTCACAATAAGGCGTAGTGGCAAGGCCTATGATCACATCTCTTGGGAGGCACAGGCAGGATGATCTCAAGTTCAAGTGGAATGGGTCTAGTTAAGTGGCTCAAGTGGTAGAGCACCTGCCTAGTAAGCCTGAGGCTCTGAGTTCAAACCCAATACAGCAAAAAAAAAAAAAAAAAAAAAAAAATCCAGGACTAGGGGTGTGGCTCAAATGGTAGAGTGCCTGCCTAGCCTAGCAAACCCCAATACCTCAAAACAAACACACAAACAACAAAAACAATAACAACAACATGGAAATAATTGTAGATTTACTGTGACATTATGATATGTGGTTCTTGGTTTTTATTCACTGTTCCTGGTTTATAGCTGCCCTCTTTCCCAAAGACAGGCCAGAACAAGTAGGATTTTTCTTTTCTTTTTTCATTTTTTGATGTTACTGGGCTTAGACCTCAGGGACTCACACTTGCTAGGCAGATACTCTACCACTTGAGCCACTCTTCTAGTCTTTTTCTATGTGTATTGGGTATTTTTGAGATAGGGTCTCACTTTTTGCCAGGGCTAGCCTCAAACTACAATCCTCTTGATCCTGAGTAGCTAGGATTAAAGATATGAGCCACCTGTCTTTCAGGATTCTCTTTTCCAAGGCAGGTTATATAAAGTCCAGTCTTTCTCTGTCTATCTGCCTTACGGCCAGTCATAAAGAACTTCCTTGACCTCCCTGTCTGATTTGGTTTCAGAGGGTCCTGGCCCCCTCAGGCCGAGAAAATCTGGACAGGCCTGGCTGGCTTCTCCAGTTTATTGGCATCACAATCTCTCGGTCCACTCATGTTTCAAAGTGGCCATACATGCTTCAATTGTGTCTGTGCCCAAATGACAGGGAGAGCAGGGAAACCACAACCCTTCCTCAAATTAGGTATGTCTAAATCCTTTACAACACTTTCTTTTTTTTTTTTGCATATGGAATTTGAACTCAGGTCCTCACTCCATGCTTGCTATACCACTTGAGCTACTCTGCCAGACCTTTTTTGTGTCAGGTACTGGGGGTTGAACTCAGGCCCTACACCTTGAGCAACTCCAGCAGCCCTCTTTTTGTGTGAATTTTTTCTGGATAGGGTCTCTTGTACTATTTCTCAGAGCTGGCTTTGGACCTCAATCCTCCCAATCTCTGCCTCTTCAGCAGCTAGAAATATAGGCGTGAGCAACCGGCACCCAGCTGCAACACCATTTTTTTTGTGATGGGTTTTTTCGAGATATTTGCCTGAGCTGGCTTTGAAACTCGATCCTCCTGCTCTCTGCCTCCTGAGTAACTAGGATTATAGATGTGAGCCACCAGTGCCTGGCCTGTGTTGGATATTTTTAAGACAGGGTCTTGCTTTCATTTTGTCTGAGCTGGCCTTGAACCGCAATCCTCCAGATCTCTGCCTCCTGAATAGCGAGAATTACAGGCACCTGGATGCTTCTGAAGGTTTTTGACACTTCAGCTTTCTTTTTTTTGTTACTGGGGCTTGGACTCAGAGTCTCATGTACACCATCACTTGGGACACACCCCCAATCCTTTTGCTTCTTAGTATTTTTGTGGGTTTTGCCCAGGCTGGGTTTGGACAACAATCCTTCTACCTTTTCCTACTAAGTAGCCGGTACTACAGGTGTGTGCCACCATACTCAAACTGTGAGTTTGTCTTTCATTTTTTTTGGGGGGGGGGAGGAAGGGCAATGCTAAGGTTTGAATTCAGGGTCAGCAGGCACTCTACCACTTGAGACCCTCCAGCAGCCCTTTTTGCTTTAGTTTTTCAAATAAGGTCATGCTTTTCTGCCCAGGGCTGGTTTTGAACTGGGAGGCCTACATAAACCTCTTGTGTAGATAGAACCACAAGTTTGTGATACCGGGACTACCTTGTTGGTTGAGATGGGGGTCTAACTTTTTCCCCAATATAGCCTTGAAGAGCAATTCTCCTGATCTTCACCTCCCCATTAGCTGGAATTACAAGGGTAAGCTTCTGCACCTGGTCTGAGTTTCCTTTTCATAAACTCATGTTTTCTATGCTGGGGAAAGTGACAGATGGTTGGTAGTTGCTGTGTGTGAGATATGGTTGTGAAGTTGGGTGGGTAGGCAGGACTCATCTTTGGCAGACCTACTAAGGGAGGTAAAACTCCCTGCAGACCGACCCTGAGACAAACACAGCAACATTATCCCTTCCTGTGTCAGGGTCTAGTAGGGTTTGAATTCAGGAACTCTAGTTTGCTAGGCAGGCACTCTACCACTTGAGCCACACCCCAACCAAATTCTTTTGTTTTTGAGATAGGTTCTTGCTATGTAGCTCCATGACCTCAAACTCAGGATTTTCCTGACTCAGCCTCCCAAGAGCTAGGATTATAGGTTCTTGCCCTGAGTCCTATGCCTGGCCTTGTTACTTTTTTTACTTTTGAAAGGTACTGGATAATGAGTAATGTCAATAAAAAGGAACCCTAAGCCGGTGCCAGTGGCTCATGCCTGTTATCTTAGCTACTTAGGAGGCAGAGATCAGAAAAGATCACTGTTTGAAGCCAGCACAGGCAACTAGCTCATGAGATCCTATCTCCATGAGTTCAAACTCCAGTACCGCCAAAAAAATAAAGAACTCTAGAGTGACTTAAGTGATAGAGCGCCTATTTAGCAAACATGAGGCCAAGTTCAAACCTCAGTACCGCCAAAAAAAAAAAAGAAAAAAAGACTATCAACAATTGAGATTCTTGAATTGAAATCATAGCCAGGCGCCAGTGGCTCATGCCTGTTAATCCTAGCTCCTCAGGAGGTAGAGATTAGAATGGATGGAGGTTCGAAACCAGTCCAGGCAAATAGTTCATGATACCCTATCTTGAAAAAATTCAACAGAGGGCTAGCAGAATGGTTCAAGTGGTGGAGCGCCTGCCTAGCAAGTGTGAGGCTCTGAGTTCAAACCCCAGTAACATCAATAATATAAAGATAAAATAAATGTGCATGTTGCCCAGAAGAGTCAAGGCATCCCCTTCGCCCACTGTACAGACGTGGAAACTGAGGCCTGGAGTGGGCCCAGTGCCCGTAGACCGTGGTCACCTCTATGCAGTGAAGAGCACTACAACATGGGTCCATGAAGGTATTCAGGGCTAGGGCTTTCAGAGTGAATGAAGACGGCTGTCGGGACCCACGTTTTCCTCAGGCTCCCCACTTCGCTGATTTCCCAAAGGCCTTCAGGTTCCGAGTTTCCGCCAGTCGCTGGATAAGCCTCGAATCCACAACTCCGAGATTGCCTGCGGGTAGCACAGCTGGTCACGTGAACGCCTTCATGAATGCCTGCGGGTAGCACAGCTGGTCACGTGAACGCCTTCATGAAGAGGGGCGGGGCCAGGAGGCCGCGCGAGTGGCTATCTGGAGATTGTAGTCCCAGCTCTGCATCCGTCGTACGCACGCTCCGCCCCCGGAACTACGTTCCCATCGTGCTCCGCGGCGACAGGCGGGGCGGGCCGGTTGGTAGGACTTGGCGAAGTGGGTCGCACGGACGGATGTCCCTGAGGTGAGCTGCCGCCCGGGGGTTCAGGATCTCTTGGCCCAAGCTCCCACGAAGGGTGGTTAGGGGGAAGGCGCCAGGGATCTGGACGATAAGCGGAGAATGGGGTGTACGGGGTCTTGGGGATGAGCCTGACTAGGCTCGCGCGCGTCCCTGGCGGGCGTGTGGGCGTGCGCGTGCGGGAGCAGGAAGCGCTATTGGGAGTGTGCGCAAGGCCGCGAGACGCTGCTCCCTTGCCGGTTGCTTTTCTGCGCATGCATAAGTGCGCTGTGGCGGAATTCGAAGACCCGTGTGGCCCAGCTGTTTCCGGTGTGCCCTGCTGTTTCCAGTGTGCCCTGCTTCGGGTCATCACAGGAAGTCCCCTCCGGCCTAGCTGCCTGTTTACTAGCTTCCCGAAGCTGTTTTCGCTCCTTATTTCCAGCTTGCCTTTAGACGAAGGTCCTACCATCCTTTTATACAGTGTTAGAAATTGACTGTCTTTGCCAGTAGTTATCGGAAGTCTGAAGTTGTGAGGCCTTTTTATAAATTGGCTCCATTCTCTCCCATATCCCTCCCCATGGCCTGAGGTTCTCCACCTTGTTGGGTGGGCAGGACACTGCGAAGTTCGAATTCTGTTTAAACATACTTTTGGTGGCGTCAGTACTAGGATTTGAACTTAGGAAGGACCTGGCGCTTGTGTCTTACCATGCCCCCAGCCCTTTTTACTTTATTTTTCGGGCCAGGCTCTGAACTGAATCCTATCTCTGCCTTCCTAATAACTGGAATTACACCACACCTGGCCCGACAAATACTTTTAAGCAGAAGTATATCCCAAAGACTGCATGGGACATATTTACACTAAAAAAAAAAATTACTTCACTTATCGGAAATTCATGTTCATCAGGGCAGCCTGTTTTATATGGTGACCCTACTCACTTGGGCAGTAGCCCCCCTCATATACACAGTGAACCCTGAAAACTACATTTAAAACCAGCATCCCCCCTCCTAGGGTGAGGTGTGTTCTAAGACTAAGCATTGGCCATTCCCTCTGTTCAGGGCCTTCCATACCCACGTGTGGGTCACTACCTTGGAGAAGGTCTCCTGAACTCCACCATGGATGGTCTTGTGGAGCATCGTGTCCCATGACAGTGCTTGAGCTGTCATGCATTTTTTATTTTCTGCTTATGGTCCCATGCCTAACAGTGGTTCATTTCGCACTGCACAGGGGTAGATGCTGAGGCTGGAGGGCTTATTACCAGCTGGGGGCCATCTGTGTTGGGCTGAGATCCTCTGAGGCCCAGCCAGCACCCTGAGTGCTTCCTAGCCAGGCATTCTTGGGCCAAGCCCTGACTGCTTTGGCTTTGGCTTTGGCTTCCTCATCCCTGGGGTAAGATGAGGCCTCTCAGCTTAGGTGTGCTATCACCAGGCAGGCTCACCCACCCTGAATAAGCACCATTTTCTGTCCCTTCTGTAGCCAAACCAGGCTGGGGTACTAATCCACTCTTGTTGGATCCCAGGCCCCCAGCCCATTGTCTACAGGGTCTTTGCTTAAGGGAGTGGCTGTCAGGTCCTAGCTCTGTGTCTAACCAGACCTTCTGGGGATTGTGGCAGGTGGAGAAGGAGCTGCTGTTGGGCCCATTCCGCCTCACCCTGGACAGCTCTCATGGGATAGCAGTAAACCTAAAGGGACCTTTCTCCCCTGTGGTCATTGCTAGCATGCCATGACTCTTTCAACTGCCCTTGCCAGGGGCTGGCAAGCCTAGACAGCTGTATCCCCATGCAGCCTCCTTTCTTTGTCATTTGTTTTGTGTTTCCTCAGACAAAGGTTGTAGTCTTGGGGTGGGGATAGAGACAAATGAGACTCTGTTTCTGTTTGTCTTTTTCCCTGGAGACAGTGAAGCTTTTGTGGCCCAGCCAGGCTGTATGGGCCAGAAGAATTGGTGCGTGGGCCAGGGGGATCCAGAGGGCAGTGCGAACCCTCCTGTGGGCCCTGCCTGCCATGACACCAGGCCTTCAAGGCATGCTAAGTATCACTCTCATTTCCTGGTCTCACCACCCATCTGCATGTTTTGTTCTGTGTGGTCACCAGCATGCAGAGTAGAGGTGAGCTGTCCCACAGAAGGCCTCAGTGTGTCTGCCCAGGACTGGGGTTGGTCACATCTGCCAGGGGTGGTGGAGGCTGCGTGGGTGCTATGTTTGAGACCATCCAGAAAACTTTAATACCGTCTGTATTTAATGTCATCTAAGGTAGCAGTATCTGATAGAAGAATAACAGCAAAAGAACCACATAGATAACCTTTCTTTTTTCTACTGGGGACAGAACTGAGGGCCTAGCATATTAAGTTTTTTAGAAGCCACATTTTAAAAAAAAGTAAAACAAAAAGTGTTGAAATTCACCTTAATAATATACTTTAATTTAAAACATGCATAGTGTTATTCTCTCTCTCTCTCTCTCTTCCCCATCCCCCACAACTGGGGATGGACCTCAGAGCCTTGTGTATACTTGGTAGCACTCTGCCACTACTGAGCTACAACCTCATTTCAACGTGTGATCGACGTATACAGAAAACTTAACAGAAATGTTTACCTTCTTTCATCTTAAGTTTCTGAAATCCAGTGTGTGTTTACACTTATGGACCAGTGCGGATGGGACCAGGAGGGTCCTGGAAGGACATTCGTTTTCTTCTTTCTGTCAGTTTATTCTGTGTGTATTCCCAGCCTGTTTCCCTTCCCAGGCCCTGGTCTTTGTCCAAGCCCTGTCCTGATCTCAGGTCCAACACATGGGAAGTGTCTCAGGCCCCACCTCCCCCAGCTCCTGGGGTATAAACTGAGGCAATTTTTTCTTCCTTCCTTCCTTTCAGAACTGGGTTTTGAACTCAGGGCTTTGTACTTACAAAGCAGGTGCTCTGTTCTGTTTATTTTGAAGGTGGGGGATCTCATAAACTATTTACCCATGTTGGCCTTGAATGTGATCCTTCTGATTTCAGCTTCCCAAATAGGATTGTAGGCGTGAGCCACTGACACATTTTTATTTATTTTTTAAGACTATGTCTTGCCCAGGCTTGTCTTTAATGCCGTGGTCAAGCAGTCTTTCTACCTCAACCTTTGAGACTAATGGGCTTCTGGAGGGGGGTGAGCTGATTGAGGGCAGATGTGGGCCTGGGAGTTTGGGGCAGAGTGCAGTCTGCCAAGTTGGTGGCTTCAGGGTGGCAAGATTCAAGAGCCAGAAGTGCCATCTTCCTGTGTTGCCTGTGTGTGAAGCCTCTGGTGGAACTTCCCATCCCCCACAGGCCTGAGTTCCTGGCACCTGGCTTTAGTGCCCTGGCTGGTTGTGACCCTAGAAAGTGATGGAGGAGGTTTCAGGTTCTGAGAGCCAAGAACCAGGGACAACTGGCCAGTGCTGCTCCTTTCCTTCGAGTGACTCGTACAACTTCACTTTCCTCATCCATACTGTGGGGATAATGATGCCCCTGGCAATGTCACGTCAGGCTTTAATAAGTGCTTGGTGTGGCAGGGCACAAGCTTTGGCAGAAGGTGCTGGTGGAGTGGGTGGGTGGGCTCCTAGGTTAGCCCAGGTCACAGTAGTCGTGTCTTTCAGGTCCTCTCCTGTGACCACAGCAAGAGATAGGGAAAACTTGGGGGCAAGTTTTACTGAAGGCCAGAGTCTACCATGGCTGCAAAGATGTGTGGAAGGACAGGAAGCCTGGGCCCATTATAGGGTGCATTTGGGGTTCATGTTTCATGGACTTTCCTTTGTCCAGCCCTTTACAGACTCACCTGAAAAGTCTTTTATAGAAACAGCCTGGAAGTGGATGTTCTTTGTCAGCACAAGGCTGTGCAGTGTTCTGGGAGGTGGGCCCAGATCTCCTAGACCTGGTATGTTCATTTTCTGTGACTGCATAGGAGACTTTTGCAAATTTAGCAGCTTATAAGTGATGCCCACTGGTAAGCCCCCCCAGATATGTGGTCAGGAACCTGGATATAGCATGGTAGGGTCCTCTGCACAGGTCTCTCCTGACTGGAGGCTAGGGGTTGGCCTGGGCTGCATTCTTACTGGAGGCTTGACTGGGAATGGGTCCATTCCAATACTTTGGTCAGAATTTGGTTCCACCCAGCTAGAGGACTGAGGTCGCTATAGCTAGCCTTCGCATGTCAGCAACTCATGCTTCCAACCTCTTGATTTCTGGATGTACAGATGGCAGAAGTGGTTACCTAAGGCTGATGTGTGTGCAGGATGATTATGGGCTTGTTCTGGGGGTAATGGAAGTATTCTGTGATTTGATAGTGAGTTTGGTTGCACATCCCCAAACATACTGAGCTGCACCCTAAAAAGTGATGTTACGGCTGAGCGCTAGTGGCTCATGCCTGTAATCTTGCTACTTGGGAGGCTGAGTTCAGGAGGATTGCGGTTCCTGGCCAGCTCAGGTAAAAATGTTTGCAAGGCTCCATTTCAACAGAAAAAGCTAGGTGTGTTGGTGTGTGCCTGTCATCCCAGCTATGGTGAGAAGCATAAAATAGGAGGATTGAAGTCCAGGTCAACCTGGGCAAAAAGTGAGACCCTATCAAAAGTAACCAGGGCTGGAGGTGTGACCCAAGGAGTAGAGTGCCTACCAGCAAGTATGAAGTCCTGAGTTCAAACCCTGGAACCGCCAAAAAAGAAAAAAAAAAAAAAAGTAATGTTACTGTTCTGGGTGTGTGGTACACATCTGTTATCCTAGCACTTGGGAGGCTGAGATAGGAGGAGTCACAAGTTCCAGGCCAGCCTGGGCTGCACAGCAAGAAAGAACCTGCTTCAACATAAAACAAACTAAAGCAGTGATGTTATTTACAATACATAAATTTCAGTTCAATTTTTTTAAAGAGCCAATGGATTAGACTGTACAAGCCCACAGTTAGTAGGACAGGAGCGAGAATGTGACTAATGGTGCATGGTACCTGGGCTGGAGCTCTTGGATGAGCCTCCAGATTCAGCATGCTCAACCTTATAGAGCCCTCAGCCTCCTGGGACTCCTGTAGCTCACCCAGCTCGGCCAAAGCTGACGGATGGTGCTCTGCTCCGATCTCTGTCTCCACAGTCGAAGCCTTGTCGAGGATGGAGCCTACCCTGGGCCTTGTGGAACAGCATGGGCATAAGAAGGCCAAGAGCCCAGAGCGTGAGCCGGTGCCGTGGCAAGCCTTCCCAGTCCTGTCTGAGCAGCAGTCTGGGGATGTGGAGCTGGTGCTGGCCTACGCTGCCCCTGTCCTTGACAAGCGCCAGACTTCACGCCTCCTCAAAGAGGTGTCAGCTGTCTATCCGCTACCTGCCCAGCCTCACCTCAAGCGGGTGCGGCCCAACCATGATGTCAGCAGTCCCCATGCCCTGGAAATGCTGCTATGCCTGGCAGGGCCAGCTGCAGGCATGTGCTCACTGACTGAGCTCCTTCCGAGGCCTGCAGTGGACCCTCATGGCCTGGGGCCACCCTTCCTGGTGCCTGTGCCTGCCCGGCCACCCCTAACCAGGAGCCAGTTTGAGAAAGCTCGGACCCACTGGCCCACGTCCTTCCATGAGGACAAGCAGGTGACCACTGCCCTGTCTGGGCAGCTCTTCTCAACACAGGAGCGGGCTGTGATGCAGAGCCACATGGAGCGAGCTGTGCAGGCAGCCCAGCGCGCAGCAGCTAAGGGCCTGCGGGCTGTGGGTGCTGTTGTGGTAGATCCGACCTCAGGCCATGTGCTGGCCACAGGCCATGACTGCAGCCATGTGGCCAGCCCCCTGCTGCATGCTGTCATGGTGTGCATTGACCTTGTGGCCCAGAGCCAGGGCCGTGGCACCTATGACTTCAGGCCCCATCCAGCCTGCTCCTTCACCCTGGTCACTGGTCCCCAGGGTGCTCGAGCTGGCAGTGTGCGCAAGCTGGATGAGGACGAGGATGGCTTGCCCTATGTGTGCACCGGCTATGACCTCTACATCACCCGTGAGCCCTGTGCCATGTGTGCCATGGCCCTCGTGCATTCCCGCATCCAGCGGGTCTTCTATGGGGCACCCTCTCCTGATGGTGCCCTGGGCACACGCTTCCGCATCCATGCCCGGCCCGACCTCAACCACCGTTTCCAGTGTTCCGTGGTGTCCTTGAGGATCAGTGCCACCAGCTAGACCCTGACACATAGGCCTGGCGCCCTCCCACTTCCAGAACTTTCTCCATTCCTAGTCAGTCAGCCATCATCTGCCCTCATCTCCTGTGTGCTTCGTCCCGTCTCTGTTCAAGGACGTTTACTGCCTGCCCACGTGTGGCACCTTCCAGTTGCTGCCATTCCACTACCTGGTGGGAGCCCTTGGGGGCTCAGATCTGCTTTGGATGAGTGACTGTTTCATAGTCCCTGTGGTCTTCAAGGTCATATCAGGAAATAGTTTCTGTCATGTGAAAATAAATCATCTCAAAACCAAGCTCTTGTCTGGATAGAAGTGCCTGTCATAGCAGCTGGGGTCTGTATTTCCGGCTGGGCAGCTTGTTACAGGAAGCTAAGTGCACTCAGCACTGGTGTGTGTTCAGGGACAGAGGAGACCCACATGACACCTCTGCTTGCTGAGTGTGGAAAGTTCTAAGTGTGTCTGGACACAGGCCAGTCTGGGGTCAGTTTACCCAAAGACTCCTTCAAAGCCATTCTGTTTACGTCTTTTACGGGTAGCTAGGGGGAACCCTAGAAGGGACTAGCACAAGTGTTGTAGGTTGGTTAGTTCAGTTGGCCTTGGAGCAAATGCCTGCTGTCTGACCACTCTGCTGCTGGTGTCCTCAGATATACTTCCCTTGAGGAGTCTCAGCCTGGGAGTAGGCCACACACTAGACAGGACACCAGGGCTGGCCATGAACCCACTGAAACCAGGAAAGAGGGGCCAGGCTGGGGATGGATGGCAGGCCTGTGGGGCCATGGAGTGGATGTAACCTGAAGGAGGCAGGAACCACAGGCCCAGCCATGGAGGAGGATGGGGGCTGAGGACTCATTGGTCTTAACGGGCCTTTTCTGTGTGAGGCAGGTCAGGGTCCCTCCTGAAGGAGATGCCTGCCGTCCTGGATAGGCAACTGGACCAGGGAGTGGCAGAGGGACAGAATGTTCAGGGTCCCATCCTGAGATCCTGGGGAACTGCCACCTGCCTGGTGGCACCTGGTTGAGCAGGGAGAAACTTGGCATCCCTGAAACCTTCCCACTTGGACTGGTGAGAGCCAAGTCCCTGCCTCTGCCTTAGTGCCTGCACCCATGTTACTCCTGGGCCAGGCTCCTTAGGGTACCATGCATAGACACTCTGGCCTGACCACTTCCTGAAGGTGGCATATCTACCCCACTGGCTTCACAGAGCTGGCTTGGGAGCATGGCTTCTTTGGGACATGAACTGTGTGAGAAGTGGCTCCAGGTGTTAGCTGTGTCACGTCTGTGATAGGAGTCCTTTGCCCTGTGAGAACCAGGGGCTAGAACTGCAGCCCACAGGGGTGGTGTGACTTGCCTAAGGTCCCATTGTAGTGTGTTTGAGCTCTGTTCTCAGTGATTCAGTGGGAGGTAGGGCTTCGCAGGGGTCAGGAGGTGCTTGGAGCCATATGGGCTCATAGGCAGAAATTGCGTAGGAGTAAATACTAGGACATCCTGGCTCCTGGGTCATGAGAGTGGCCTGCAGCCTGACCCATCCCCTCCCTCTAGTACTCATGGTACATCTTGGCTTTGAGGGGAAGTGACTACTGGTGGCCCCACATCTGGTCTGAAACACCACCTGAGGCAACAGCCAAGTGGCCAGCCTTTCTGTCAGAATGCAGAACACTGGGCACTGTTTGTGGTTTTTGATTATAGTGGACACCCCCCACCCCCAGGATGGCTCAGGCCTGCAGGTGCGCATTGGATCACCAGTGGCCATGGGGGTCCCTGACGTCCTGTCTCCTTTCAGGTGGCTGCAGGCTTCAGCCCGGGCACCAGGTCAGCCAGAGCAAAAATGTCAGGTGAGTTCCACCAGGAGAGCAGTGGCAGCAGGAGGTCTATTCTGTTCCCCAGGAAGTGGCCTCAGGTGGTAGGGACATCAGCAGAAGGCTGACGTGTTCTCCCCAATCCTGAAGCCAGGTTCTGCCTTGTTACGCTTTGGGTGCTCATGTGGCGCAGATACGTTCACTTGCAGTTACTGGTGGCAGACCCACAGATTGACCTGTTCTTTCTGGTTGGGAAATGAGAGGGTGCAAGTGAAGCAGGCCAGGCCTTGGAGGAGGACTTGGGATCCAGGGCTATGGAGGCTTCTGTGCAGCTGCCCCACCTCTTTCCATACCACCCCCTCCACCCACCTCCCTCCCCATGGGTCTTCTCACCACTCCTAGACCTGCCCCAAGGCCTTGTACGGCTGTGTCCCTCACCTGAATGCCCTCATCTCCAACCCACAGTGCACACAAGCCTGGAGTCTCCTGAGCTGATGTCTCATGCTCTGCATCTTTTTAGCTGCTTAGCTGCTAGCTTGCTGCTATGCTGTCTGCTCCCCACCTTAGTGGGAACCCTGGGGATGGGTTCTCATCATCTGGCCCTCCTGGGTGCTTGGAGTGTGTCCTGGGGAGTGTCACTGAGCAGAAACTGCTAGAAGTCTGTTTGCAGATGCAGTGGAGTGTCCCCCAAAAGGTCCATGTCCAGACTTCCAGTACCTGGCAATGGGACTTCACTTGTGAATAGGTCTTTGAAGATGTCATTAGTTTAGGTCACCTGCGGTAGACTGGGCCTTAATCCAATGACAGGTTCTTATAAATAGGGAAGCTTGGGCCAGGCGCTGTGGCTCATGCCTATAATTCTAGTTAGGAGGCAAAGATCAGGAGGATCATGGTTTGAAGTTAGTGTGGGCAAATAGTTCGTGAGACCCTATCTTGAAAAAACCATCACAAAAAAGGGCTGGTGGAGGCTAGGCACTGGTGGCTCACGCCTGTAATCCTAGTTACTCAGGAGGCAGAGATCAGGAGGATTGTGGTTCAAAGCCAGCCTGGGCAAATAGTTTGTGAGACCCTATCTCAAAAATACCCATCACTAAAAGGGCTGGTGGGTGGCTTAAGATGAAGGCCCTGAGTTCAAGCCCCAGTACCGCAAAGAAAAAAAAGAAAAAAGGAAACTTGGACACAGGCACACAGGATTGTATGAAAATGGAAGCAGAGACTGGAGTGGCATAATCCCTGGGATGCTTGGGGTCCGAGATGCTAGCATAGGCAGGAAGGACCTCATTAGAGCCTGGGAAGGAGTATGACCCTGAGGCCTGGCCCTCGCCTCTGGCCTGGAACTGGGAGAATAAGTTCCTGTGGTTTCAAGTTACCCAGATTTTGTGAACTTAGAGAAGCCCAGGTTCCACTTTCTGGAACCTTCCCTGGTGTCATAGACACTGTGCCTGTTGAGCATGCGTGAGTGTCTGTGACCATCATGAGTTTTTTGTTGTTGTTTCTTGGTGGTATTGGGGTTTGAACTCAGGGCCTCATGCTTGCTAGGCAGGTGTTCTACCACTTGAGACATTCAGACCAGCCCCAGTCATAAGAAACTTTAAACAAAATTTGCTCCTCACTTTCTGGGGTCAGGAGAATGACATGGGCCTTCTGGACTCCAGTCCAGGGTGGGGCAGAGCTGTTCCCTTCTGGAGGCTCCAGGGAGAATCTGCATCTTGGCTTTTGCAGCTTTTAGAGGTCTCGTATTCCTGGGCTTCAGGGAGGAGGACGGGGGTGACTTGGGGCTGCTTCAGGCAAATTGTAGTTGAGGTGTTCTGTGGGTTTCCTTCCAGCAGGGAAGGAGAACAACTTCCCGCCCCTGCCCAAATTCATCCCGCTGAAGCCCTGCTTCTATCAGGACTTTTCCGACGAGATCCCCATTGAGCACCAGGTGCTGGTGAAGAGGATCTACCGACTGTGGATGTGTGAGCTCTGGGCCAGGGGCAGCAGGGTCTGGGTGGGGCTGACAACCAGGGAGCAGAGGCCCACTTGTCCTCAGGTTGCAGGAACCTGAGCTGTGTCCTGTCTGAAATAAGGTTGTCTTCAGGCAGCATCATACAGTGTACAGAGAATTAGGGTGGCCCAACTTGGCTCTCCCTGAGGGATCAAGTGGCCCAGCAGGAGTTCTCTGTCTACCTTGGGTTCTTTCTGAGACCCGTGGTCCCTATGGTGAATGGGGCCCTTGTTCTGAGCCTGGCCTGTTGATGTGGCTCTCTCAGCTCATCTTAAGAGGTCATGAGGCCAGGGAGGTGGGTGTTTGACCTAGGAGGTTACATGCCCACCAGGGGTTCCCAGTAGTCCTTGCCCTCCCACTCGAAGCTCAGCTCCCCCCAACCCCCCTTTCCCAGTTTACTGTGCCACCCTTGGGGTCAACCTCATCGCCTGCCTGGTCTGGTGGATTGCTGGTGGTTTGGGAGCCAACTTCGGCCTGGCCTTCGTCTGGCTGCTGCTCTTCACCCCTTGTGGCTATGTGTGCTGGTTCCGACCTGCCTACAAGGCCTTCCGGTGAGTAGGGGCTGAGTAAAAGGAGCCAGTTCCTGCCTCAGAGTTTGTCACACCTGCTCCTTGTGGGGCTTTCTGGACACCTCTGGTGCTGATGATCTGTTCAGAATTGGGGGTGACTGAGACACCCACCCATGTGAGTTCTGTCTCTAGTCCCCTCACATTAGAGGGAACCTGGTCCTGGCTGCCTGGGATGGGCCTGGTCTACAATGAGCTTTGGCTCAGTTATTAGCAACTCTCCCTTCTTCTCATTTGGGTGGCAGTTTATATTGGGGTTGGCAAGCCACAGCCCACAAGGCAAATCCAACTGCTGCCTGCACTGTGTGCTTTTCTCCCTGGTACTGGGGATGGAACCCCGAGCCTCATTATTGCTAGGCAAACACTCACCCAGTTAGCTATGTCCTTGCCCTCCCACTCCAAGCTCAGCTCCCCCATGCCCCTCTCCTGCCCCCTACCCCTGTTTACTGTACCACCCTTGGGGTCAACCTTGTCGCGTGCCTGAGGCTACTGAAACTCATGATCCTCTTGCCTCAGCCTCCTGAGTTCTGAGTTCTGAAATTATAGGTGGGCCCTGTCAGAACCCCATCCTTATCAGCAGTTACCCTATACCCTCTTCAGCTCCTGGCACACATAAGTCAACTTCCTATCACTGAATTCACCTGTTTCTGGATGTTTCCTATTAATGGAGTCTACACTGAGGTCTTATGTGCCTCGTTCTGGGCATGGTGTCCTCAGTGTCCCTCCATGTGTGTCACAGTTTCATTCTTTTTCATGACCGAGTGATGTTTCCATGCATGGAGAGACTATGCTGTGTGTATCCATTCATCCACAATGGACACTGGGCGGTTTCCACTCTTGCCCATTGTGAATCATGCTGCCGTGAACATCTGCCGGCTCATCTCCCATTACCAGGCATGTGTCATGGTCATCCCTAGATGGTCCTTGAGCCCCAGACTCTGAAAGTGAGTCAGGAAGGTCCTAAGGCTCTCATTGAAGACAAGACAAGACACATCAGTAGAGGCTACAGGGATGACTTGCACAGTTGAACAAGAGCATAGGTAGGGCAAGAAGGAGCAGGTCTACTGGTCTACTAGAATCTTCTCTGCCTCCCATACTGTTCCCCAGAGCCTGTTCTTCGCTCCGCTGAATGGGAGCTATGTAGGTGAGGTCCCTGCAGCTAGCACAGCCCATGGCTGAATGCAGCAGCATCTCCAGGGTGCGGGGGACTGCAAGGTCTTTTCACTGATGACCCCATGAGGCTGTGGTGTGCTTTCAAAGCTACAGTGTTTTGGCCCTCTGGTTAGAGCTCAGTCAGCCCAAGCACATGTGGGGTGAATTCAGAAGTGTCAGTGCCTCTCTCTCTCTGTCTAGAAAAGTAGGACACTTCGAATTAGAGGTGTGGCTCAAGTGGTAGGATGCTCACCTAGCAAGCATGAGGCCCTGACTTTAATCTCCAGTACCACCAAAAAAAGAAAAGTAGGACACCCCTTTTGCTTTCTTGGCCTTGCTTCTTCCTGTCTGGGAGTGTCCAGGGCCATGATCACAGCTGTTTTCTGTTTCCTTGTAGAGCTGACAGTTCCTTTAACTTCATGGTGTTTTTCTTCATCTTTGGAGCCCAGTTTGTCCTGACTGTCATCCAGGCGATCGGCTTCTCAGGATGGGGCGTATGGTAAGCTCTGTTGACCAATGCCATGTGGTACATATTGCCTATACACGTGTGCATGTGTCTGTCAGTATGACTGGGTGCTGTTACAAAGAGAACCCAAGCTTACAATGACTCAGAGGGAACAGAAGTTTGCATCCTGCACTTGTCAACAGTCTCCCTGACTGGCTGTGGTCTAGGTTAAGGCGGAGTGTCTGCTCCCAGTGGTGACTGTGGCTCCTGGTAGATTGCTCTACCTGCTCTGCAGGCATCTGGCCCATGTTCTGTTGGCTGGAACTGACCACAGAGGAGGAGGAGGGTCATGGTGAGGTGTGATCCAGCCATGTGCCATGAGAAAGGGTTGAGGAGAGTTGGCAGGCTTTGCACAAGAAGCAAGTCCTCCTGTTAAACCACCTTTCACCCTTGAGAGAGGTGCTCCATAGAGCATCACTATGCCTATGCCCAGCTTCTGTCCATTTGTTTCCGGCATATTGTGTGAGGTCTCAGTGGCTGCTGTTAAAAATGCCCATAGACTTAATGGATGACACCAAAACATAATCTCACAGTCTGGAGGTTAAAATTATAAACTGGTCCATAAGACTGGTCCCTTTCTGTGGCTTCAGGGAAGATCTATGTCCTGCCTGTTCCAATTTCTAAAGGCCCTGCACCCCTTGGGCACAAGGCCCCTTCCTCCCTTTCAGAGCAACATAACATCTCCTAGTCTCTCTCTGCCTCTGATTTCTTATGAGGACCTTGGGGTGACTCTGGGTCATGGATGATCCAAGAAGATCCACAGCTCAGGATCCTGCAGGGTCCCTTTTGCCCTAGCAGATGACTTGTCCTCAGGCTACAGTCACGAGGACAGATAGGCCTTTTGGGAACTAACCCAGCTAGCCACAGTTGTCTCTTCTTCTCTTCTCTTCTTTTTTCTTTTTTTTTCAGTACTGGGACTTGAACTCAGGTTTCACCTTGAGCCATTCCACCTGCCCTATTTTTGTAAAGGGTTTTTCAAGATAGGATCTTGCAAACTATTTGCCTGTGGGAGGAGGGAGGCTGGGCAAGTGCATGGCACGTTTGTGGGCTCTTGGCCACTTTTTTGTAAATCTCAATTTATTCTAAAATAGATTTGTTTTTGTTCTTTTTGGCACTACTGAGGTTTGAACTCAGGGCCTCATGCTTGCTAGATGACAGGTGCTCTACCACTTGAACCACTCCACCAGCACCTAAAAATAGTGTTTGTTTTAATTTTCTTTTTTAATTAGGGAGGCAGATTTGAGATGTTTGTTTGTTTATTTATTTATTTATGTTTTGTAGTACTGGGGTTAAACTCAGGGCCTACACCTTGAGCCACTCCACCAGCCCTTTTTTGTGAAGGTTTTTTTTGAAATAGGGTCCCATGAATTATTTGTCTGGGCTGGCTTCAAATCGTGATCCTCCTGATCCTGCCTCCTGAGTGAATAAGATTACTGGCATGAACCACCAGCACCCGACTGAGATATTTATTTATTTATTTAATTTTTTTGCGCTGGGGTTTGAACTCAGGGCCTACCCCTTGAGCCACTCTACTAGCCCTTTTTTGTGATGGGCTTTTTTTGAGATAAGGTTTCATGAACTATTGCTTCAAATTGCAATCCTTCTGATCTCTGCTTCTTGAGAAGCTGAGATTATGGGTGTGAGCCACCAGTGCCCAGCTGAGATGTTTATTTTTAAAAAAAAAAAAAAAAGAAATGGCCAGGAGACATGGCTTTAAGTAGTAGGGTGCCTCCCTATCAAGTGCAAGGCCCTAAGTTCAAACCTCAATATTACCAAAAAAAAAAAAAGAAAAAAAAAACCACACAAAAAAAAAAACAGCCCTGGAAACCTGAGATGCTGTGCTGTGGAAGGCTCTGAGCAACATGATGGGGAGGCCAATGGACAGGAGCTGGGAGGATGTGCATCCTCTTCACAACTCTCTGGGACAGCCATAGCAGTTGGATAACATTGACTTACTGCAGGACAGAGAGGTACAGGACAGAGACCAGTGCTTGTATGTTCTAAATTTCCTGAGGATTTTTTTGTTCTGTTTTATGCTCCGGTGCTGGGAAATGGTGCAGGGCTTCAGGTATGCTGGATCTGTGCTCACCACTGTGCCACATTCCCAGACTTAAGTTTCTTCAGCTTTGACAGTGGTTCCAACTGTTTAGAAAACATTTTTTAGAATTGGCTGCCTCCCTCTCCAGAGGCAAGAATGGCAGGCAGCTGGATGTCATTCCATGCACAGGCCAGGGTAGCAGCAGCTCTTCTCAAATCCTGCTGTGCTGGCTTACTCATGTTTCTCTCCCCTTCTGATTTTTTTCCCAAATTCCTTTTTTTTTTTTTTCCTTGCAGTACTAGGGTTTGAATTTAGGGCCTCCCACTTGCTAGGCAGGCAATCTACCACTTGACCCACCCTGCCAGCTCCCCCCTTGATTTTTTAATGTCTCAGTTGTGTTCTGTGTGATAGCAGCATTGTCTGTGTTTACATCATTCCCAGCTGTTGGGCATTTAGTAATTCTCAGTTTTCCGTGATTGTAACAGCTGCTTCAAGATAAGTTCATAGAAGTTGCTGGGCGCTGGTGGCTTATGCCTGAAATCCTAGCTACTCAGGAAGCAGAGATCAGGAGGATCGTAGTTTGAAGCTAGCTGGGGCAAATAGTTCTCAAGATGTTATCTTGAAAAAAAATCCATCACAAAAAAAACGGCTCCAGGTGTAGGCCCTTAGTTCAACCCCCAGAACCACAAGTAAATAAATAAATAAAATAAGAAGTAGTGTAGTAGGGAGGAGGGGATAGCATGGCAGAAAACAGAAACTGAATCTGAAAATGGTCATGTAGCACTGAGAATGAAGTAACAAATGAAATTATGAGTAACTATATATGGGTTAGAGTTTGCTTTTTGCTTCTGTAACCTGCTTGCAAGAGTATATAAGGCAAGGCCCCTTTGTTCTTGGGTTCAGCTTTTGGATGTGAATCCGCTGAGTCACTGCCAGTACTCTAATAAACATTGCTTCCCAAAAAGCCTTGATGTCCCGTTTCCCTGCTTGAATATCCCACACCATTTCTGGGGGCTCAGTCTGGGATTCGGAGATGGTGTCTTTTACCTCCTTGTTGCTGGGACTCGGCATCCCCGGCTCGTCAGGAGAGCTGTTCCCACCAGGCACCAGTGGACTTGTTGATCTGATGGAGGGAGTCACTTCTCCAGGCGCACCGGGGAGCGAGTCTTGGTTGCACAAAGGAACCCGGAAAAGGCTTGAGAACCAATTGGGATCTCTGCCTGTCAGACTGGTAAGAACCCAGGTTCAAATGATAGGCCTGAGGCAGAAGACATGTCTCCTGATCACCTCCCAGAGACACCCAAGTAGCCCTCTCTAGGTGAAACCACCGTGTCTTTCAGGTTAAGGGAGCAGGGCGGAAGTGTGTGTGTGAGTGTTAGTCTGAGACATGGCCTGGCTGCGAAGTGAGTGAGGACCCTGTGTAGATGCAGTTCCTGTCTGGGCGACCACATCCAGGTCACCGATAAGGGGCGCATGTTGTTCTTCCCTGTGTGTCAGAAAAGGGAACACCTTACCTTTCCTCCAAAACCACTACTCCTCCATGTCTGTCTTGATGTCTGGTAACGGAAGGAAATGGGTGGAAATCAGAGTAAGAGCACCCCTTGGAGACTATGCTTAAAAACTTTACAAAGGGATTTAATGGAAACTATGGAGTCAAGTTAACTCCTAAAAAGTTTAGGACTCTTTGTGAATTAAATTGGCCTGCTTTTGGTGTAGAGTGGCCCCTGGAATGGTCGATAGACAAAATTGTAGTCAATGAAGTTTATAGGGTAATTGTAGGGAAAACTGGGCACCCAGATCAGTTTGCTGATCTGACAGGATGCAATTCTCAGCTGGCCTGCATGGCTAAGACCTTGTCTGGAAGAAACCTGTAGGATCATGGTAGCTAGTGTGACTGCAACTTCCAAGTGTAGGGAAAAATCAAAGGAACCTATACTGGCCTAGGAGCCCTAGAAAACGCCACCACCCTATGTGTCACTTTTGCACTCAGCACTCAGTTCCATACCCTCACCTTCGATGTCAGATGGGAAAGCTCAAGGAACAGTCACACCTGTAAAATCTGGCCTTGAAGGCTTCTGGGACCTCAACTCCCCTGACCTCCCCATGTCCTGTGGACCTCATGCCCTCTCCAAGTCTGCCAGTTCTCATCCCACATCCCCCAGTTAATTGGGGGCATCCAACCAGTCCCCATGAGGACCCCTCTGTTAGGTCCCTGGCATCCATGGGGCGAGTGAGGGGTTCAGGGGCTGCAAGTGAAACCTGGCCCCCTGACTTAGGACTGCTTGTAAAACTCCCCTGCTTGTTTCCTTGCTTGTAAAACCGCAGGAACTTCCTGCTTCTCAACTAGCTAGGCATGTCCACCTATTCTATCTGGTGATCACAGATAAGCAGGGACCAGTGGCCCAGCTGTTCTCTGGGAGAAACACCCTCCCTCCCTTGCGGTGCAGCCCCTCCTATAAGGCCCACTACTCATTCCAGCCAAGCTGTTGCATTTGGAACTTGAGAGTCAGCACAGCAGTCTGTGCTTCCAATAAATTCTTTTCTACACGTGGCATGGTCTTTGTTCAGCAGTTCCTTACACCCTCCCCTCCTCAGATTCCCACCACCCTGCAGATGCACCTGAGGGAGGTCCGAGGTCCAGTGTATTATGACCAGCATGATCAAATACGAGGAGGGTGGACATTCATCTACCAGCCCTTTACCACCATAGAGCTCCTAAACTGAAAACATCATACTCCCTCCATGGAAAAATCCCAAGCTCTGACTGATTTAATGTAGTCCATAATCCAAACCCGCAGACCCACCTGGACAGGCTGCTGACAGCTTCTTCTAACTCTAGTCAATACTGAAGAGCGACGCCATATAACGTCGGCAGCACTGAAGTGGTTGGAAGATCATGCCCTGAGGGTACCTTAAATGCCCAAGCCTGTGCTCAGGCTCAGTTCTCCAAGGAGGA